GCATGTTTGTGGTTTTTATTGTAACATGTAATACATTTTTTCATATCGGATTTTCTATTTTTGTGTGTTTGTGAGCCGAAAATGTTAATATAGTTGGTTAAAATGGAAAAAAAAGTCACACCATATAGGTGATGTTGCGCTTAAAAAGCACACCAAACAGTAAACATGTTTCTATGTGGTATATAAAGACCAAACTCCATCCTGCAACTATTGCACTGAAGTCGGCCTTGTGACTAACAACTAATGGGCAACTCGTGTTTAGAGCTGCCAGACAAATAAACATGATATTGAGTTATGCAACATTTATTTCAGCAGTGTTTCTGTCGATTTGATGACTCCTGCTGGTAGGAACACAAAAAAATGTCTGAAGATTTGGTTTGAAAAAAATAAAAAATAATGGTGATTCTAAATTGTCCATAGGTGTGAATGTGAGAGTGCCTGTTTGTCTCTAAGTGTAGCCCAGTGATAGACTGGTGACCTGTCCAGGTGTTCCCTGCCTTCACCCACCCCTGCACCGTGACCCTAATGAGGATTAAATTAAATATATTCCACCCTCTGAAATCTATATGCCACCCCATTAATATTTCTCTAGATCTGCCCTTGCCTCAAAGTAAATCAGAATCTAAAATAGTTCTCAAATTATAACTTCTTGTGATTTTGGATATTTTTAGATCCTAAAATTACCTATTAATTCCACATTTACGTGAATATGGGGCAGATTTTTAATTTTTGTATGAAGAGAAACTTTTAACAATACGTGGTGCTTTGGCTGCACCAACATGGATTACTGCCTGAACAAATGTTGTGGTCTAAACACCTTGACTTGTTTCTTCATGTTTCTCAGTGTCTTGCAGCAATTAAGAGGTTGTTTGGAGCTGCTTCTTCAAGAGCTTGATTCAGTATTTCATTCAGTGATCAGGATTTCAGGTTTACTCATTAAATACAAAGCAAGATGGTGCTGTAATGTTCATGTATGGAAATGTCTCCGTTATTGTTGCAGTGCTTATAAAAAAAGTATCCACCCCCATTCAAAGTTGTACCCTTGTACTGATTTTTAACAATGACTCATTATCAATATAATTGTTCCTTTTTTTTGGTCCAAAATTTACAAAAACAGCCTGTTTTATGTCAGAGTGAAAACTGATTCTTCAAAGTAATATCAATGAAATAAAAGTATAAAACATAACATAAGTGACTGCATAGCAAGTCGAGTCATTATTCAGTAGATGCACCTTTGGGCGCAGTTACAGCATTGAGCCTAAGTGGATATGTCTCAGTCTGCCTTGCATACCTGGACACTGTAATTTAATCACATTCTTCTTGCAAAACTGCCCAGTGTTTGTACATTTTCATGAGTGAACAGCCCTTTTTCAGTCCAGCCACACATTCTCAATTGGACTGAGGTCTGGGCTCTGACTCTGCCTTTTCAGCGCATTCACGTTGCTATCGTTGATCCATTTTTGTGTCGCTTTGGCTTTGAGCTTCAGTTCATTGTCTTGCTGGACAGTAAAATATCTCCCGAGTCACAGTTCTCTTATAGACAGCATTGAGGTGTCCTTCAGGATTTCATCATACTTTACTGCATTCATTTTATCCTCTACCTTTACAAGCCTTCATGATGCTGCCACCACCATGCTTCGTGGTGGGGCTGATGTATTTGTGATGATGCAAAGTCGTTAGTGTCTGCTAAACATAGCATCTAGTCTGATGGCCAGGAAGCTCAATTTTGGTGTCATCAAACCTAAAAACCTTTGAAATCTCTTTGCCACACAGCTTTGAATTGTTGTATGCACAGGCTCGACCGTCTTAGCTGCTGAAGCTTGTAACGCCTTCAGAGGAGTCATAAGTGTCTTGGTGGCCTGTTTCGTTATTCTCTCTTTCACTTCAGTGTTTTGAGGATGACCTGCTGTAGGAAGATTTCTGCATGTGCCACATTGCCTCTATTTCTTAATGATGGGTTTATTTGTACCCCAGGAGATATTCAGAGACCTGGGACCTTGTATCCATCCCGTGACTTGCCCTTGTCACTAACCACCTCACAAGGTGTTCTTTTGTCTTCATGGTGTAGTTACAGCCAGAGTACTGATTTACTAGTGACTGGTCTTTCCAGATACAACTGTCCATCCATCCATCCATTATCTATACACCGCTTAATCCTCACTAGGGTCGTGGGGGG